AAAAAAAAAAAAAAAAAACAGTGCGGAGGCTGTAAGCAACTGACCCCATTAGCTCCGCTGCTATGCGTTAGCACTGGAGCTAACTTTAATAAACTAACGTATTCTGAGCTGACGTTGGGCCATTTAAAGGGCATTTTCGCTGATGGCCATTGTTCGGAAAAACGCATTTTTATTTATTTATTTTTTTTAATCAAGACTGGAATGTGTGTTGTACTTACTCCCCTCCCGAGGCCATGGTCGTCCACCTGGATTACTATGAATAAATAAAAGAAATTCTAGCTAAATGTTTAAGAGGCTTAACCGGTTTTCTCGCTCGTTGCCCGACGTTGTCTGTGATTTCACACGAAGGAGCAGCAGTTTCCGTGCTCCGCTTTACACTTATACCGGGAGCCAGGCGCGTCCGTCACTCCGATTGGCTGGACGCGGCCCATCGAAGCTCGGCGACCAATGACAGGACCCCGAGTCTGACGTCACTCGGAGTATTGTGGAAATCGGGCCAATCGCAAACGAGCGGGGCGTTCCCGTCGTCGTCGACTTTTCTCTCATTGGCCACTCGGGCCTGTCGTCGAACTTCTGTCATCCAATGAATGTGCACCGCGTTGATATTGAAAGAAGCGTAACAACATGAAATTGGCTTTTTACTCTTGATAATAACAGCATATGTGTAAATAATAGTGCAAATTAATTGTTTGTTTTATTCATAGGAGCAATCCATACAAACATCGGTATAATATAAGCATTTTTGAGCAGGTGTGTATCTCCTTAAGTAGTATGTATTATGCTTTATCTTGACAAGCATAATCAATTATTAAAGTCACTGTCTTGATTACTCTTGCCTGGCCAAAATACACATTTTATTTCCAATGATCAGGCAACTTCGTAGCATGTCTAGTAATCTTAATTTCTCTTCATGCATAAACCACCTGTCAGGTTTACCACCCACACTGTTCATTCTCAGTCTCAAACAGTGTAAAAACGGTGTATTTTACAGTCCAAGTAGATACATGTTTGTTGTGGGTATGGGTTTCAGTTTGCAGGCCAGAGAAAGTTGATCCAGTTCAGTAAGTGATAGGGTATTCTTTCTCTCTCTAGGCTGACAAGGTAGGACCAAGTTCCTGTATTCTGTGGCGCAGCTCCGTGGAGTCCAACAAAGGGCCAGATTGGGGTTCCTGTAGGTACACAGAAAAACTCCTGCAACACAGAAGGCATATACCAGTTAGATGGAGAGTAAATGTGCTCTACCTAAAGCAACAAGAGACTGATTAAACTAGTAGGGGGCTTAAAATGTATTTTCTTAGAAAAATATCAGACCCAGTATCTTAAATGAGCATATCTGTGAGGAAATGAATCTGCTACTGAATAGAAAAACAAGCACATTTGCACATGGCTATCTTGGCCAAACAGCTGTAGAAAATGACAGTAGTCCTTCTTTGATGCATCGCCCCAGGTATAAGCTTACAGTTGAAATCCCTAAAGTTTTCTTACTAACACATACTGTTGGTATTCTATTAATCTGTACGGTGGAATGTGGTCAACCATTTAAATACCCGTCCAGGTGGTGATGTTAAAGGTGTCTTTAATATATTTGTGTTTTGGTTACCTGGTGATGACATTGTCCCTGCATACAATATGTCAATGCTGAATACTGACAAATTGAATCTTATTTTAGAAGCCTCCTCATTTTGCAGAAAATTGTTGACAGCAGTTTAAAAAACCCTGTCTGAGATATTCATCAACTGTTTTTGTGAGATTTTTCTTGCTACATACACTTTGTCTGGTTGAGGATGCAGGGTGTTGATCCTACTCTACACAGTGCATGGTCACATGGGATTGCAACCACCTCTGAGAGTGGCCTGTACAATCAAATCCCACTACCCAACAGTCAGTTTGGGCCACATTCACACGCATTTAGAGCAGTACGCGTCAGGTCAAGTGTAAACAGGGGTGACGTGTGTACATGCTGCAGAATATAACAATGGCACTGTCTTACTCTGATGAGGATTGTGTGTTGAAGCTCCAGGTCTTTTTCCAACAAGCTACTGCCTCCTGCCTCCTGCCAAGCCTCCACAGCACTTCACCACACCACAGCCCTGCACCCACACAGTCTGAGACAGTACATACAGCATCATGGCATGTTCAAACAAAAGACTCACACAAACCAAGTACAGATCAAACACTGTTCACAAACCCTTAAACTTGCCTCTGTACGACCAAGTTGCTGCAGTGCATTGGCAATTATCCTGTGTCAGAAAAAGCTTCAAGCTCTGCTGTATATATCATTACATTCAAGATGTAGTGTTTATACCTGGGAATGCGTGCAGGCTGAGTTGGAGGTCTCTCAGGGCCTCTTTTAGTTGACCTGTCTGAGTGAAGCTGATGCCCCTACCAGCAAGTGAAAGCCCCTTCAGCCTCTGGAGGATGCACAGATCTGTTCCCGGTTTGCCAACCATATCTGCACTGGGGATCTGTGGTTGGAAACCTGTAATTGAACAATCAACAGAATAAAATAAGATTAAAAATGCACAAAGTAACAGTCTGTAGGTTGTGTAAAAAGGGCAATTTCTCTCTAAATTATAAAAAAGGCACTCACCTCTCTTTTTAAACCGTACTTTCACCAGCAGGTTGATGCACCTGTAATGCAGAGTGCAATCTTATGTGTTTGCTTATAATCATAGAACCTGATGACAGAAATTAGCCAAATTTCATCTTATATACCTTGTGTAGTGGGTCACAGCTTGTTTCCAGTCCTTCAGGTGAGTGTGGCAGTGACCCTGAAGGAGGTAGGCAGCCCCGGTCCAAAGCAGCATCCCCACCCTGCCTTCACCCTCTGCACCCTCACACTTCTCCTCTGGCTCTTCCAACAGCAACTTTTCTGGCAGCAGCTCCAGTGTTGTGCTGATGACTTCATCGCACAGCGCAATGCAATCAGCGGGCCGTTGGGCCATGAGCAAGGCAGCGCCAGCCTCCAGGTAAAGATCGGGCAACCTGGGAAGGGAATGGACCTCAGCGTGGACCTGAGACAGAGACGTACAACATACAGACGTCAGTTAACATTTTAAGAAAGTATTCCTCCCTGGCGCATATATATATTATGACAAATTAAAATATATCCGAAGCTCATTGTTGAATTATCTTGTCTGTCAGGGTTTTCAGTCTTACTCCATGTTGATCTTCTGCGTGAAGAGCAGCCAGCAGGTCCAAATAATATTCTACACCCTCTGACACCCTGAAGAAACAGCAACAACATCCATTTTTACAATTAAAGTGTGCACTATGTGTGTACTATTCTCATCTACGTTTTCTGTTTTTTAATAGTGGTCACGTGTCAGTAAAAGACAGAAACTCCATGCTGGTCTTCTCACCTCCCATGTTGCACACACTTCAGAGCCAGATTGTGAAGGACACAGAGGGCAGAAGGAACTGAGAGCAGACTGTTTAGTGATTGGCCACAGAGCAGTAAGGACGGGGAGAGGAGATGAGTACTAGCCAGAGCAGGATCTGTGGCAGAGGGCAACATCAAAGTCTGTGGGACAAGAGAGGTTTCATGTTTCAGTACACAGGCCTACACTTAGTGTCCCAAATAAACCTTTTGGCTCTTCTGCTAATAGTTGTTCTACTACAACGAAGGCAGGGAATATTTTTAAAAGAATACAAATAACTGATATACATCTATAAGACAAACATTTACAGGCACTTTACAGGCATTTGGCATCATCCCTTTATGTACTGTATACTTGTGTTACTCACTGAGTGCAGCAAACGAAGAGCTTGTATCTCAGCTTGTGTGTTGCCAAGCTGTCTGTAGATGAGCATGCTCTGGTACAGAGCACATACACACTGCAAGTCTGTCTCCAGTGCCTTCCTGTAACACTGCAATGACATCTGAGGGCAGCTCTGGAGACAAATGCAAACACACACACTCTTACTGCATGCAAATGCTCAAACCTGTTATGCATGCATGATACATCCTAATTTCTATGTGTTTAGTGTGGACTCTGTTTGTGTACCATATGGGCGAGGCAACAGCCTGAGAGGAGGTGTGTGTATGCGACTAGAGTTCTGGGAGCAGGCAGGGAGGAAGCTGTCTGCAGACCAGACAGCGCTTCTGAAATACGACCCTCACTCAACCTTTCTGCACCTTAATGAAACATACCGAACACAACAAAACACAGGATTCATTACTCAATACTGCAAGCACAAGGAGTCTATTTATGTCACTATCATATACTTCAGTTCTTGATTGTCCTCAGCACATAGCAAAGGTAGGTATACATACACATCTATCTAAACTACATAGATCAAAAAGAAAAAGCTACAACAACACACTACATCAGTCATCCTAGTGTCCTTGGCCAAGGCAATTCAAATCATGAATAAATAAACACAAGTTGCACTTTGTGCAATTCACTTTTTAGGACCCTGTGAAATGTTTATAGAGCCCTTATTGATATTTGGTTTTAACTTTTGTTCTGATCTGCTGGTTTTGGAATCTTAATGTGAGGAGAAAGACAAAAAACCACAGAGATTAGTGAACACCTGCTCTAATATTACAATTATGTTCTAGCTCGGTCTCTTTGCTCTGTTCAATGGTTGGAAAGGCCACCTCCATCCCATCCCCATCCCACCCCCATCCCACCCCCTGCACCACAAGGTCCACCTTCTGCCCTGCGGAGGTATAAGGTCTCTAGGATCAGCTCCAGCGCACAAGACTACCTAATCCTATGGTTTAAAAAAGCCATGAACCATAAAGTCCAGTCTACCATTTATTGTTGCACTTTGTACATTGTAACTACTTTTTACTCATCGCACTTTGTAAACTTGATGTTTGCTATTACTTGTAGTTGTTTATAGTGTCTTTGTATTTAATAGTGTCTTTGTTGTTGGTGTATGTACAGTATCTTTCTTGTTATTTATTTCTAAGAGTGTTTTTTTGTTGTTGCAGTACATACAGAACGATTCTCCCATGTGTTTTTTTGTGCTGCACCAGAATTGGCCTCCAGGATAATAAAGATTTATTGAATTGAATTGAACTACTCACCAGTACATTGCCAGTATCAGTGAGCAGTTCACTGGTTGGCTCACACTGGCTCTGGGAGCGCACACCCACAATTTACTCATGTCTATTTTAAAAGTCAACTCTACTATCAGCATTCAAATATACACACACCAACACACCAGTTTGGATTCGGATTTATAATATTTTTCCTGTACTACTACTGAGTTTCTTTGCCCCTGCACTTCTTTGGTGGCACCTGTGCAGAAAATATATGATTATATCAGGGGCGAAACATGTATTTAGAAAGCACAGAGCTTAAATCAGGACATTAAGTGTATGTTTTGCATATAATGTTTGCATCTGGTGATAATATGTATTCAGACTGGGACAGGAGGTTGGCCCTCTGGTGCCCCAATGTTCAAAAAGAAACCACAAAAGTGCCCTCTTGGATGCCCTAATGGTAGATAAAACATGATAAAGTGCCCTCTATTTTGGCTCGATGTGCAAAATAACATGATGCCCTATGGTGCCCTACATGCTAAATAGTTAATAGTTCACTGTTTTTATTACAGAGTTGTAGTAATTATACTTTTAGTCTGAGTCACAGAAAAATAAATAATAATTCTAAACAGTCCCCACCACATGCAGCTATGTCCTTTTTTATTTGGGTACACTGGGTCATAACAAACTGTACCTGGTCCTTCAATATGCATTAACAAAAAACATGAATGTTGCTGACCTTGAGCAATGTAAGTACAGATCTGCAATAACTCAATAAGCCGTCTTGGGTCCGTCAAAAGCAGTGGAATGTCAGAGGACTTTCCCCTTGCCTCGCTCCTCCCGTTACCCCCACATCCAAGAGATAGTGTCTCAAACAGAGAGAACAGCTCATCCTGCATCACAGGAAAAAATGCAGTACAGTTTTATTTTATAATACTGTGATAAACACAATAATAACACCAAATACATGATTAATCCTGCACTATGCCACACAGTTGGGTATTAGACACTGTAGCAGGTCAGTACATATGCATTATGTTTTAGTGACAGAGACAGGAAGAGAGATATTAGGGTAAAAGTGTACTTGAATTGTAAAAAAAATAAATAAAAAAATTAAAAAAAGTTTGCAGTTCTTCAGGTTTTTCTTCAAACTTAAATTTCAATGCGGGATTGGAGTATAAATCTAAAACTCGATAGTAGTTGGCATGAGACTCATTTGTCTCATAAATAATAAAGAAGGGCTGAGATAAAGAGGAAGAAGACAACATGAGATAAAGAGGAAGAAGACAACATGACCTGAGCACCAAAATGATGAGTAAAATAGCTTTTTATAGATGCACATATCCATATTACATGACCTACTGGTTAGTTACATCACAAACAACCCTTGGTGAAGTTCACATGGAAGATAACTGATTCATTTTAGGAGGAATCAGAACAATAGTTTGGGCCACACCATAGCATAAATCACAGTCATCTCATTAACAAAGTGGACTGAATGGAGAGAGGAAACAGAGTTCCTTTAAATCACACCAAACACTTTAGGTGGGAACACAGCACACAGACAGGACCCTACCTGACATTCCTGGATAGTTTTCAGCTGACAGGTGGCCAGCCATATTGCCCACTGGAGACAAAGAAGGTGCTGTAGAGAGGAATTCAAAGCTGTGTTTTCCACTGATTTGAGAACTGTTTTCCAAAATACACCAGGGTCTGAGGCAACAGGAGCATCTCCTGTCATCTGTAGAACTGTAGGGAACAAGATCAGGCTGTAAAAGTCAGAAATGATAAATCCTTTGAACTAACATGAAACTGGATGTGTGGCATTGGTTACTGTGTCATCTACATCGGTAGTTTTGTCATCGTCTCACAGCTTAAGCCTACCTCTTTCTGTGGCTTGAGTGAGGAGCAGCTCAGCTTCTGAGAACTGAGACTGAGCAGCAGAGCACACACAGGCATTGTACACCACTGTCAGCTCCACCTGTGTGTGATCCGCAAGAGGAGGGACACCTGCAGGAGAGGGACAGGAGGAAAGGAGGGAGATAAAGGTAAGAGCTCAGCTACCCACCTTAACAGATTAGGCCTTTGTGTTATGAAGGAGATGCAGCACCTTGGATTTTCCTTAAAAGTTTGTGAAACTCCGAGGAACACCATCTCAGATGGGTCTGGTTCTGGTCTCGGCTCACTGCATCTCCTCCTTCTTGCTGCTGAAACCATGAAGTGAAAGCAAACTTGAAAAATCACCAAGTGCATTTACTTAAGTACAATTTAGAAGTACTTGGACTTTACTTGAGTATTAATATTTTATGCTACTTCACATTGTTACTACGCTGTAATTTACAAGGAAATATGGTACTTTTTACACACTTATCACATACATTTATAAGCTACCTCTCAAAAAAGATTTCAGATACAAGACATGTTTTGTTTTAGAAATTTGATGCCAGCTACATCAAAATGCTGCTTACGTGTTAATGCATCTCTAATAATATTCCTTTAATGAAACATAATATAAATTATGAAGAGGATGAGCCATTCTGCATAATGAGTACTTTTACTTTTGATATTTGAAGTACATTTTCTGTCAGTACTTCTGTCTAAGATAAGTTAAACTTTGAATGCAGGACTTTTGTATAGTGTGATATTGGCATATTTATTACAAAAGATGAGAATACTTCTTCCACCTGTGGTAATAACAACATTATTGGCTGTCCAGCTAAAAAAAAGAAAATACTAACAAACAAAACAGTAGAAGACAGTCTGAAAGTAATGTTATTCTGCAGTATATTAAAAGTATAAATTTAACGTTAGCACTATGATATTTTGCTCTCTTAGTCTATAATAGAGCATAAACAGATTTATATATAACACTATTTCATAGCTACTTGCTAACGTTAATCTCTGAAAAGACGAGACACTTCACTGCTCACTACCTACCGTCCATTTGTTTACCAACAAGTTGTTTTCCTGGGTCCATCTATCTGATAAAGAAAGCGTCTGGCACATTTTATTAGACATTAAATCGCTGCTCTGTGAAAAAGTTAGCAGTGTTTAGTTTGAACTTTCCCTCGGTTGTCAAAAATAGGGCTCTAACACAGGAAGTAAACATTAGTGAGTTCAATGCAGTGCTGCCCCCTGTGGACAAAGCAGGAAACGACAGGCGGCAGTCTGCTAAATATCCAGCAGATGGTGCTGTGACAGAGTTCAGTTGTGTTCTGGAAACTTCAATCTGTTGGATTTTTTTTAATTTTTTTTAACAGCCATCAAACTGTGAAGTGACACTGCTGTTCTGTTTTTTTAGTCATTAGCTTTATAACCCTCTAAATAAACATACAGACGCGCTCATAATTGCACAGTAATTATACATTTTCTGTCTGACTCTGCGTGATGGCTGTCCTCTCATTACAAACATCTGCATTGGCCACAGTGGCACACAATCACATGTACACACATGCACGCACACACCTATAGGTGTATAGAAAGTAAACACAATCCAAGGCCTTAACTGTATTACAGCTGAGTCATCCTTGAGACTGCCAGGACAGCCATTTTTCTAGCTGTCCCTCCCAAGGTGACTCCCTCTTTTCTCACCCAATTCCTCTCCTCTCATCCCTCTTTCTGTGCGTCTCTGTCATCCCTCCATCAGTGCATCATCTTGTCCCCCGTTGTCTGCATCCTCCACTGTCTGCCTTCATCACAAGCTCCTCTTTTCTCTCATTGTCTCAAATCACAGAAAGCTCTAAATATACACCAGCATGGAAAAAACAAGGGAAGCTCCTGGCATCCACTGCTCAACAATATACAACTGCACACTTGCAGCTGCACAGGCATGCACACACAGACATACACAAGAGATATCTTTCTGTCTTTCTGGTTCCCCACATCTTTTTCCCCTAGGATGGGTTTCACTGCTTTGTGACATTTTGCTCTGCATCGATCTTGCTATTTTCCATCTCTCTCTGTCTGTCTCTCTCCCCTCTCTTCATCCATCCCTTCAAGGACAAGGTCGTTACATGGCAAGAGCCTCCCACCACCTCCTTTTCTTCTGTCCGTCTCTCAATGTCATTCACATGGCAAGACTTCAAAGTTTTATTGAATGGTTTGTATAAAACTGGTACTGCGACAAATCCAGATTATGTTCCTGTTGAGGAACCAATAACATGTAGCCTGCTGGTTGTGGCAGGGGACCATTCATCATTTCTCCGGTAGGAATCTTCTAACATAGAATTAAAATGAATGAATTAGTCTTTTTTTTTGTAGACTTCAGCTGTAAGCAGATGGTTCAAATAACAAGCATATTGAGGAATGTGAGCTATATTGAACATCACACATCACAACTGAATTCTGCTCACTCTGCTCCATTATCCTCATTTATAAAACATAAATCCCCTCCCTGCACTAGGGAAACACGCTATCTCTGCCCTGCAAGCCCCTCAGCCCACTGGTAAATGTGGTGCAAAAGACACTGTGACTGTTTCACAAACAGCACCAACACATTACAACATGCATCTTAACACGTTTATTATGAGAAAAGAAGTAAGATTTAAGGACCTTAAACAGACATGACACAATCGCTTGAGGACAGGCTAAGGGCTTGGGAGTCACACAGTCCCCAGGGTGTCATTGGGCTGACAACACACATGTTCACAGGGTCGAAGAATGGCTGATACAGAGAAATTACTGTGTGCTGATCCGTCTGTTCTTTAACATACATCTCGAGGGAAAGGCACAGTTCTTCTTTAAGGTATGCGGAGTAAACTCACTCACCCTGAGTTAGAGTAATCAATAGGTGCTGTACGTGCTCTTCAGAGCTGGTCCTCCTCTCAGATCAGCAGAGACAGCTCAGTTTGTTTCGTGTGAATGCTGTATCATCGTAGCTCAGTGCATATTCCTACACTATAAAGTTACTATTTATGCTGCTGCTGCTTTTGGGTTATTATCAGTGTTGTCACATGTCATGCTTGGCCTGCAACCACATCTGCACAGCTGGAGATTTCATACTCTCCAGCAACAGAAAGAATCAGAAACCAAGAGATGAAAAGTTATGTTTGAAGTATGAGGAGGAAAAAAAAAA